GGAGCAAGGAGAGGGCCACCAGGGAGAGGACCGCCCCCAGCTCCGCTCTGACCCGCGCGCTTGCATTGTCGCCTCGCTCCTTCCAGAAGTCAAGCTCTAAGTGCCAGTGCACGGCTTGCGAGCTCGCCGTGCCTGCTTCCAGGATTGCATGCGTGGCCCCGGGCCCTTGTCCAGGGCCTCCAGAGGGCTCGGGATCTGTCGATGCCATTGGAGATTGTACTCTTTTGGCTGGGCGGGAGGTGCATCGTCTCAGTCTACAGGGCTGGCCCAGATATGCATCATCGTTCTGTTCTTCATGCGGCAAATATGCGACGCGTGACGGCAGGCACCTGGAAACCAGTCATCTCGGAATGTCTCGAAAAGGTCGAACGAGTCATCTTCGCCTCCAGCAAGGGTTGTGCAAAAGGCGAAGAGCGGTCCCGGCACAATTGCGCGAGGTGGAGGCCGAGGCCTGCGCAAGCTCCCTTTGCCCCTTGATAAACAAATAATCCCAGAAAGAGCCTCTCCGCCTTCCCTCCCTCTTCCGTCCTTCTCCCCGAGCAATCCTTCTTCTTTGAAGCACTGGGCTGTTAGTCGCCTCCCGCCATCTTTCCTCCTCGTAATCACCAGTCGACCAGACCCGTCGCGTCACAATTCTTATCGACACCATCATATCCCTCCTCATCATCCTCTGTGCTCCTCCCCCTCCTCGACAATTAGATCGGGACGCCTGAAGGAAGCGTCAGTGCATTCTCTTCTCCACTGGCCCACAAGAACCCCAACGCGTTGGCGGAGGAGAGTCTGCAATGTGATGGTGGTCAGGGCGGGCCGACTCACAAATGCAAGGGGGAGACGAGGAGGGGCACGCAGGCAGCAGTGGCGGCCAGGACAGAAGGAGAGGACGGGCTGTTCCTCCTTGTTCTCCATCCATTTTTCGGGTGATGCATCTCGCCCCCCCCCCCCCACCCACCCACCCCTTGTCGCACTACCAGACGTGTCGGTGGGGAGGGCCGGGCGTGTCGTCTGAGACTTCCTCGCCGCTTACGACCTTGAAGTCTTGAAGCTCCAACTGCTACACTGATGGATAGCGAGCCGTTTTCAAGCTGGGGCTCCCACCCTACGCGGCGCATATTCGTTTGCACTCCATGTGAGAAAACATATGTATATATAGATAGATAGATATACACATATATGTATTGGGACGGAGACGGGACAACACACACGCCTGACCATTGTCCAACTCGTGCCGGGGAGTCGGCAGGCAACCCTGCCGCAGGACCATCATCGCCCCTTCCTCCCGAGTGAGACATGCAGGAGACCAGATGGCGACTGGTACGAGTTGCCCTCAAAACCTCAAAACGTATCGGACCGCAGTTGCATACATTGTGTCATTACCCCTACCGCCTGGCCTAAACGACCACTGCCGTAAACCCAACTAACTACGATGGGAAAGCGGAGGGAAGGAGGAGAGGGGGAGGGAAGCAGATGAGAACTCCAAGACAACTGGAGCAGCGCAGCGGCCAACAACCTGCCATAGGCGAGCCATTGCGCGCATCTGGGGACTCGTGAAATTGACAGGGCATACTGATAGAACTGAGCCCACGCTCCGTGAGTGATCACGTAAACTTAAAAGCCCGTCCGATACTAAAGGAGAAATCTGAAGCCGAGGCAATACCACCGCCAAGGCAAATGGCACAGGCCTGCGATAATCGTGCACATGGACGCGGCACGAAAAGGTAAACCATCGAGGAAATAACCTACGCTGAATAGCAGCCCGAACTACAGCGCCTCCAGCAACTCCCAGGGCCTGCAACCACCGCACGACCACCGGCAAAGGCGAATTGGAAGGAAGGGAGAGGAGCTGGAAGAGGAGGCAGAGAGCGGGCCTGCCCCGGCAGGGTAAGCCAGCGCACCGCCTCCGGGAAGGAAGAGAGGGAAGCTACGGAACGTTGAACTCGAGCATCGTTTATCCGACCCCCATCCCCAGCGGCGTGGCCTGGGCCCCAGTGGCTGACTTACCCCCCTGGATGGGGATACAGGCCGCTCCCTTCAGGCTTCAAGGGGTGTATCCCCAACTGGGGTGGCAATTTGGTGGGGGTCTCGAAGGGGATGAGGATGGGGGCGGGGCCGGTTCAACGATACTGAGAGCTGCAGCCTGCCGAATCGCAGACCGCGCGACCCACGTCGCCTCCTGCGGCGGCTCGCGTGGGGCGCGAAGGCTGCCCCCCGCATTTTGCGGCCACGAGCGAGCCACCGAGTCCTCTGAGGACCAGCGGGAACGCATCCATGGCCCTGGGCTCGGGGCGCGGGGAATCCCACTGCGGCACTCGGATCGGACACGCTGCCGGGACACGAATGGGGAGAGGACTGGCGGCGCGCACAAGGGGGTGGAGGGAGGGGGGAGGGCTTCTTAGGAAGAGGCTGCTTCTTAGAAGGCGCCGGCCTCACACTTATAAATGAGGCCCGCGCCTTCTAAGAAGCAGGGGTGCTTCTGAGAAGCCCCCCCCCTCCCCCCACCCCCCTCTGCGAGCGGCTGAGAGGAGGAAGAGGATGAATAAAAGGAATACCCATACCACGAACAACATGCGGTTCAAGAGCGCCTGGACACTCAAATACAGAAGACAGCGGCCGCGTCAGACAAGGACAGACGATGGCGCCGTGCAGACATGCAGGAGCAGAGCAGGCAGAACAGGACAGGATATGCTGACAGCGGGACGGTCAACCATTTTCCCCACCAGTACGGGCGACGCCGCCGCGTGGGTCCAGACACACCCCCAGGCAACGTAGCAGGGTTCTCCTGCTGCATGAGACCCTCTCGTTTCACACGCTTGCTATCCCACATGGCGGGATTGATGCTCGTCTAGAGACTGTAGGTGAGGAATAAACAGCTGTTTACAGGCAACAGCTAGTTTCCATCACACGCTTGCTATTCCACGTGATGGGATTGATGCTGGTCTGGAGACTGCAGGTGCAGAATGAACTGCAGTTCAAATGCAACCACGCGTTTCCGAAGCCATCCCTGCCAAGAGAAATAAGCAGGATCGCCCTGCGAACGTGGCCAAGCTTCTGGGCCATCATCGGGGCACAACAAACAAGGCCTCGAAAAATCAAGGACTCGACAGAACAGCAGTGGCCCCGGACTCGGGCAAGAGAGAATTCTACAGTTATGACTCCAGTAGCGTCGGGGGTACGGAGTCTCTTCACGGCACGCTGAATGAGATGCTGGAGCTTCGGGTGGCCGAGCGCGGCCGCCCGAACATAGCCTCGAAATGCATCGGGCGCGTCGGCGCACATTTGGCCGTGTCGCCACGCATTGTGCGTCCGAAACAAGCCATACACACCAACGGCACGGAGGGCAATTGCAGCCGCCGTGGCCCCCTCACCTCTGCACTGTTCAGGAAGGCAAGACACGTGCGGGGCGATACCTAGAAAGTCTGCCAGGCGAAATTCAGGCGGTGGCCGGCCAAGCCCAAGGAAGCGGCGGCACAGCGAATGAAACGTACTGCAAAACGCGTGGTGCTCGAGGAAGTCCTCTCCTCTTCGGCAGCACGCGCAACCCGCCATCGTTTCCTCCACGTCCACCAAGTCGGCTAGCATGCTCCTGCCTGCAATGAAGCCCCGCTGGGTCCAAGTCACCTTCGGCCCGACAACGGGCTCGACGAGGTGGCGCACCGCGTTGGCCAGCAAGCGAGTGTCAGTGTTGGTCACCGACAAGGGCCAGGTGTTTTCGGGCTCGCAGTGCCCCTCCCCCGTGGACAGCGTGCCCGAAGGCGCCTTGGGGAGCAGGAGTTGCGAGTTATATACAGAATAGCTAGCAGGAATAACAGGAAAAATGCTGATATCTGTATACATATGTGTATAAATAGATGTACACACATATACGCGTGCGTGGATACGCGGGTGGAGGGTGGGTGGCTTTCAACATGATTTGCGCTCGCTGGTGTTAACAAAACCAGAGGCTGCGCTGATGAAGGCAAATCGTGTTCAAAATGAAGCTCTCGCATTGGCGCCACGCACACTCGTCGTAGAAACTCCAACCCAGCACACGGATGGAGGGCGGCTCTCGTTAAACATCGGCCTCTTGCCTTAGACTTCCACGACTTCCACGACATAAATCTTCCAAAGCTGTGAACGGCTGCACGGATGGCGGCCAATCGTTTTCAAAAAGAGGGCTCCCGCGTGAGACTCACATTCCACTACAAGCACATGTCGTGCATTTCTAATCGTGCTCATTTCTAAGTGTGCTCGTTTCTAATTGCTCCTGGCCCCCTAGTGGCCAGGAAGAGGCCCAGGATAGAACAATTCGAAATGAAAGGATCTTGGCCCCCAAAAAATCAAGGAATTTTCGAAGGAGTAGAAATGAGCAATGTGTACAGGAGATGCTCAACGGCGGCACGAATGGAGGGCGGCTCCGTCTCAAACCCGGGGGTTCTCACCCGAGGCTTCCTCGAACCTTCTGGCCAGCACCAGCTGCGCCAATGCAGCGCGACTCCTGCTCAGGGCGGGCCAGCCGCTGGACACTTCGTTGAACTAGATGTAGGAGAGCTCCAAACAATACGCCACCACCAGCCCTGGCCAAGCCCATCCTGGGCCCTGGACTGGTGTACAGGCCCTCCTGGCCTAGGCCTGGAGATCTATACACCAGTCCAGGACCCAGGATGGCCCTGGCCAGGGCTGGTGGTGGTGTATTGCTGGCGTCCCTCCGAAGATGGCCCCACCGCGTCGCATTCCTTGGAGCTCGAAGGATGCAGGGCTGCTCCTCTGCAACACGGAGCTCCCGCCCGAATTGCGGGCCCGTGGCTCGGTCGTCTTGCAGGAGGGCGCCTCTCGCAGTGAAGAAGAGTGCTTGCGGGGACTTCTGAGGAGGAAATTTGGGCGGGAGGGTGCATTGCAGCATCGCTTGCGCATCCCGCGTTCACTGCCCTCCTCCTCCTCCTCCTCCTCCTCCTCCTCCTCCTCCTCCTCCTCCTCCTCCTCCTTGTCCTCTCTAGCAGCAGCGCCCAACGTGCAGGCGGGCCCACCTCGTAGCGGCCCCCCACCAGTTTGGGCTTTCGGGGCTTCACGGGCGCGGCCTCGGGAGACGCCGGCGCCATCCGGGCAGGTTCTTCTCGAAGGACAGTCGTTGTCGAGGATGGTCCCAAGCAGTCCGGATTGGAGACGAGGTGAGCTCCCATCGGAAAGAACAGAGAGAGAGAGAGAGAGAAAACAAAAAAAAAAAAAACAGAGAGAGAGAGAGAGAAAAAAAAGCTCGTGTGTATACATAAAACGTATATACACACACCCCTCATACTGATACATTCCGCCCCATGCCCCGCGCGATGTCCCCCCTCTGCGGTTGTGGCCCTGTGGGCGTGGCGTGGTCGTCGTCGTCGTCATCGATGTCGACGTCGACGTCGTCGTCGTCGTCGCTGTCGTCGTCCCCCCCCTCCTATCACATCAGGGGGTGGGGCGCCTGAGAACGCTGGGACCCATCCCATGGGGGGAAGCCTGTGAAGCCTCGACCCAGGATCACATATACATATGTATGTCAGCGTGGACCCCGAATTGCCCTCGATGTGAGCCTCCCAGAGGGACCCAAGCGCGCATACTCTACACATTGGGGACGTGCACCCCGCGAAGCGACAGGAGTCCACGTCCAGAAATGGAATGCGCCCAGAGGGCAGTCCGAGAAGGCTAAAAGCAGTATACCCCGTGCATCCCACCATACATCGAATTTCACAGTGTACACTTGTGCATGATGTCGTAAATTCTCACGTGATCCGCCCTTACCCGCCCACCAGAGTCACGCCCTATCTGCCGACGCAGAAACCAAAGGAAAATACATGATTTCGGCTTATGGTGCTTCTCGAGGGTCGTAGAAGGCCTCGAGACGGCTCTGGATGGCCACAAGATGGCCCAAGATGTCTCCAAGACGGCCCTAGTGCTCCAAGAAGACACCCAAGAGGGCGCCCAGAAGCCCAATCTATTTATTTGTATGAAGGGCGTGCTGATTCCAGCGCTCTCGCCTTCTCGGGCCTCCGAAACCCCAAGACAGCCCCAGAGGCTTCCAAGACGGCCCAAGAAGCCTCCAAGAGGGCCCCAGGACAGCCCAAGGGGGCCCGAAGGTGGCCCAAGAGGTCCCCAAGACAGCCCCAAGACGGCCCAAGTGGGCCCCAAGACTGCCCAAGAAAACCCTAAGAAGGCCCCGTGACGGCCCAGAGAGGCCCCCAAGACGGCCTCCGAAGGCCACTCGACCAAAGAGCGCCCGACACCCAAACGGGTCCGAACTGACACCCTCCTCTGATCAGAGCTTGCACTGTATAGCTTGCAATGCATGCTTACACAACAGAAGCTGCACCATCAACACGAGTTCTCACGCAGCATTCGAACCATACTTACACCACACAGATTGCCTCACATAGATCGCAGCACGTAGCCTGAACCACGGATAGCGCACGCTTTAAATGATACCACATGGGCTGCACCACCTAGCTTGCACCACACAGCATGCGCCACAGAGACTGCCAGCGCAGCCTCTGAAACGCGATCGGAAGTTCCCGGCGTCAAGCGCCATCGCAGCCGCTTCGGTTGTGCCAAACCAGCTGACCAGCGCGGCCGCGGAGATGCGCCAGCCAGTGCCGAACACATCCGCCGTCGTGGCCGCATTGGTTTTACAAAACGAGTTGCGGATGGGAGGGTGGGATGTTTGCGCGAGCAGTGGAGTTCACAACTCACTACTTACACAAAAAATGCACCATACAGGTTGCACCGCATAGATTGCACTGCATAGCTTGCACCACACAGCTTGCAACACATAGGTTGCACCACGTTTATTGCGCCCCAAACAAAAAACAGACTTGGCACGCATCCAGAATGCAGTAACACACTGCTTGGGGTCCACGCTGACAAATATGTTGCCCTTGAGTTTGCGATTTGCGGGATCCCTGATTGTCGGGTCTGGGTACCAAACATCAATGGAGTCTCGGATGACGCCACAACAGCGTCTGCTATTGTCCCAAGAGGGAACCCCAAGACAGCCCAAGACGGCCCCAAGCTGGCCCAAGATGGCCCCACAACAACCCAAGACACCCCAAGAGAGAGCCCAACATGTTCCAAGAGGCTCCAAAATGATTCCACGAAGCCAGACAGAACGGGCCAGAAGATTCCGACGCTTCTTGGCTACTTGTGGGATTCCAGCGTTTCGGCTGAAAATGGCACCAACAGGAACTCGGATAACTCACAGACCACATGAAAGGTCCCACGAGGGCCTCAAGAGGATCCCAAGACTGCCAAAGACCTCCCCAAGAGGGCGAACAGGGACTCAGGAAGCGCCCAGATGAGCCAAACGGGGACCAAGAGCAAGGGCGCCGACATTTGCTCTGGGATAGGCCTCAGAAGTTCTGAGATGGCGCCAGAACGTCCTCGCAGGCCACCAAATGACCCAGCATACCCAAGAGGAACATGGACTTGAGTGTAGATTGCAGCATCGATGATGCAGCATGGGCTTACTCTGGTTATCATCATGTGCCTCCTCCCTATCAAGGCAAAGTAAGGCAAGGCAAGGTTCTGTGCGAGCACGCAGATGGGTCCGATACCGGACGCGGAGTGGAACAATTGCACGAGTTACACATGACGAACTCTGCTATTGCTGCTTCGTTGGCAAAGAATCGAAGAAGGAGAGAGGAGAGGACGCGCGAGGGGAGAGGGGGACGCACGACGGGCAAGGACGAGAGGGGACGACCGAGGAGACACTAGCGGGAATCTGGCGCAGCTTCGCCCTGTGATGCTGTTGACCTGGCCGCGAGTCCACCTGCAGATATATCGCACGTCGCTCGTGGTCTGCCCATGGAGCGCTTCAGGTTGGACAGGCAGCTTTGCATCTGCAACGTCGCTTAGGTTCCAGACCGCGACTAAACTCAACAACGTGTGTGCCGGCTCAGAAGGAGAATGCTTTCCTGCAAGCGACCTCTGCTATGGATGAGCTCAGTGGCCCATTGGCGACTGGACTTGCGAACCTGCGCAGCGTCGATGTCTTATTTCCTCTTTTCATCAGCACCCTCATGTCACCTCTACTGTTATGGCTCTTTGTGTCTGTACATGTCTAGGCGTGAATATACATATATATGTATATGCTTCTCTCACCTGTTTTTGTGCACTCCGCCAGGGAGCTTGTCAGGCCAGGACCTCTGGGGGCTACTCAGGGGTCAACCCAGGAGTTGGGAGAGGTCCCGTCCCTTCAGCGGCCTCCAAGGGCCTCCCAACCCGCCTGGCACAGCCGTGGCGCTTAAGCACCCGCGCTGCGTCCCAGACGCGCTGGGCCCTTGCCCCGCCGGGAGGTTAAACGTCACCAACCCCTGAACCCCCTAGCTCTCGTCCTGGCAAAAACTCGCGCGGAGGCAGGCACGGCCACGCGCGAGACGGTAGCAATGCTGCCCCCTGTCTGTGGGTGGGCCAACACAGCTACGGAAGATGGATGAAACTCACGTTATCCATCAACGGCGTCGCGCACGCTCAGGTGGACTCCGCATAGGTTTCCTTGGAAGGTTCATATATGCTTCTCTCACCTGTTTTTGTGCACTCCGCCAGGGAGCTTGTCAGGCCAGGACCTCTGGGGGCTACTCAGGGGTCAACCCAGGAGTTGGGAGAGGTCCCGTCCCTTCAGCGGCCTCCAAGGGCCTCCCAACCCGCCTGGCACAGCCGTGGCGCTTAAGCACCCGCGCTGCGTCCCAGACGCGCTGGGCCCTTGCCCCGCCGGGAGGTTAAACGTCACCAACCCCTGAACCCCCTAGCTCTCTCCACGGTCCCTACCCTGGCAACAGCCGCTCCCTCTTGCTCTTACTTATGCCCTCCACCTTGTTGTAATGAAATGAGGGAAGAAAGGTGGAGGATGGGCGGGACAAACAGACAGGCAGTTCAAAGCAAGAACAGTCCATCTCGCCTCTGCTTGCAGGCGCGCGCGAGCAGGTTGCAGCGCCTCCGCTGCGTGGGCGAGAGATTTAATTGAGTGGCTTCGGCGACGGCATCATGGACATAAAAGCGGGCCGTGCACGCCGATGCCATCTGCCTCGGAGCAGCGTCTGCTCATGGAGCTGTGGCTGCGGAAGTCGGCGGAGGCGCCTCCCGACGCCAGCTGTAAAGAGTGAGCTTGGCATCTTGCAGCTCCAGCAGCTCACGTATGGGCCGAGAGTGCTCATGAAACTGCTTGGCTCCATCTCGAGGCAACAGTCTTGTCCGTGCGCCTGAGCCTTTGCTTTGGCAAGGAGGGCGACCGCTACACCGCTCCGCACGAGCACGAACTGACGGGCACCAGTCTGATGCTGGCTCTTGGTGTTGCGCAGCTGCAGCACGGTCATTTGGCGGACTGGATACAGCTGTACATCAGACCACACGAGCGAGGTCATCTCACCCGTTTGGAGGAAAGCGTCGTAGCCTGCTGCCAGCACCGCCGCAGCGCCACGCTGGCCCACGGCCGCCAATGCACCTGCAAACGCTGTTGTAGGACTGATCGGCAGCGCTCGCGCAGCTGGCTCCAGGCGTTGCCGTTAGGCCAGCGCCAGCTGTCTCGCAGGTGCCCTCGCACGGGCGGGAAAGAGTGCCTGATGCCTGCAATTGCATTATTAACTTCAACTAAAGATCCTCCGCTCAGCCAACGGCTCTCGATGAAGGCGACCACGCCAGCGTCGACCTGAGCGGGCGTCTGCGGCTGGCGGTGCTCCTGAATCCAGAAATCAACGACCTCCCCGACCGCCGCACGGTACCGCCGCAGGGTGAGCGGCGTGACCATCGCCTCCCTCAGCGGCTGGGTCCTCGCTGCAGCTCGTCGCGCCATCGCCTGGGCCGTGACCCGGCTTTCCTTTGCTGCTGCTTGCGCTGCACGCTTGCCAGGGGCGGCTCTCCTGGCTCTCGCCGGCGGCAGCACTGGCAGCGTGGCAGCGGCGGCCATAGCTCCAGCGGGGCGGCGTGTCGGCGGGCATGTCGACGGTGTCGCAGTACTTGTACAGCGGGTACCCGGCCGTCGCGAGGAGCAGGGAGTTGAGCTGCCGGAGCGCGGGCTGCAAAGTCCTCACGCTCGATCTGCCCTTGGTGCTGACTG